GCTCGAAGCTTTGGACGGCGAGCTGATTCCACAAGCCTGGAACTCACTCAACCTCAAAAGATACTACAGTTAGATCGGCACCTCCTCGAGGTCGGCATCGACAAAAAAAAAAAAAAGGGAGGGAATGGTCCCTATGAACTACGAAGCGGTTTGATCCCCGAAAGGGGTACGTAGGCAATCTATCCTCGGATGGTGCAACTGCTCCCCCTCCCAAAACGGGTGGGGACTCAAAATTTCTTTTAATCTTCAAGTCGTATTCGGTTTGTAAGTCTTTGATTCAATAAAGTCTCAATTTCTAAAAATATTGTGTTCATTATCATATCGGCATCTTGGCCAGATGCTCGATCCGCCTAAAGCTAGAGTCTGATCCACTTTAGCTCGGCAACTTAAAGCCAAGTCCGCCTTGCATTCTACAGTTTTACCTGTTTTCCTATATCCGAGTCATGCATTGTTATCAGCCAAGTCAGTCTTGTATCCGCATTCGACTCGGATACTTCTAAGTGGTACCGATGAATCAACGCCGACCTAAATCGCGCATCGGGTATTCACACTTAGAAGCGAAGTGGTACGAACAATCATAAACCGGGCCTCCCGCACGTTCGTATTCACACTTCAGTATACAAGCCAGAATCCGCACTGCAATTCTTAAGCCATGCGGAATATGTAAGCCGACCTGATCGCAGTTCGTATTCGACTGAAGAAATTTTCTAAGTATCGAATTCGTGCCGATCTAATTCGTTTGTTCGTTTAATACTTAGAAATTTAAATCGCACAAACTTAAGCCGATATCACATCGCCGTTGTGTTCAGATTTTCAACTCATAAAAATGTTAACTTTCTTAAAAACTTTCATTTAAATAAAAGCCAGAACGGCACAAATACATCAGGGTACACGATAGATTACAAACAAGAAAAAGGGAAAAAACTAAACTTCAGTTTCTTCCAAACGAGAAGTCTACTTTTCATGGAGAAGTCTACTCTACAAAGTCAAAGGTTGGTCAATTGCAAAAATGATCTGCTTCTAAAGAATTCTACTCGAGAAGTCTACTTCATTTTTTTGTTATCAAAGGAAATGGAATAGACTTCATTCGGACCAAAAGAAGTCTTTTTTTTTCATGCGGTTAATTGCAAAACTAACCGGGGCGTTGACTAGTAGACTTCATTCGGACCAAGAGAAGTCTACTTTCGAAGCCCATAACTGAAAAACACTAAAATTGACTGAAAATCCGACTTACCACTCGTCTTTAGCTTCTTTTCTGGTCAAGATCTTCGATTGTAGCCACCCTGAAAGAAACACAACCGCAAAAAACAACCAACTCGCCGAAATATAGAAATATATATGAACTTCAATTTTCTAATGGTCAAATTATAGAGTTTTTGGGAAGAAAATAGAGAGAAAATGGAAGAATAGAAGCTTAAGAGAAATGTAATGAGCTGAACAAACTCAAAAATGGGGTTTTGGTGTCCTTAAAGCTCGAAATTGGTTGAAAATGGTGGTTGTGTGAATTGATGATGATGACATTTCGTAAATAAGTGAGAAAGATGAGGATAAGTTGATCATTTTGGATTTTCAAAAAGTAAAGAAATTAATTTAAAACAATGACAATTTTGTGAATAACTGAAACAATGAAGAATTTATTTGGGAGAAAGTGACAAATTTTGAAGTTGCCAATTTTAAAAGTTAGATTTGCAATTGAAATCAATTTTTGAGTCATTTTTACAAGAATCCCAAACTTTGAATTTTGTTAAAAACTTAGAATTTAATAAAAACAAAGAAATTTTAATATATAAAATAATATTTAAAGCTATAAGGGAAATGGTATTTATACTAATTCTAACAATATTTGGAAATTTTATAATTTCAGAAATATTTTATCACTAAATTTAAAATTAAGTATTATATTATTAATAAATTTAAAAATATATAAAATATAATCTAGTGTGTATATTATAATCTTCGTGTGTATAAGTGGATCATCATCTGGTTTAATTTAAGTAGTCGCTCACTGCTCAGCCATGTCGTGAGAACATGAGCGCGTAATTTGTGGAGAACGGTATCATTGACTTTGTATTCGCCTATCAGCCTGTAACCTCGAGATTGTGTCGGGATTTTCTGTATTAATTATTTTCAACTATAGTAGTATTATTCTTGGCACTAAGTTAATTACATTCATATTCAAAATCTCCCATATCACTCGTCATTCAAAACAATTTCTCTTGGGAAATTCTATGGATTCAGATTCGGAGTCGAAGCTCATTTCACTCATTTCTCAGCTGCTGCTGCTGCCTATCCGCAAAAATACAGATCCAGAGTGGGAGTGGGAGTTGAAGATCGTACCACTCATTATTAAAATAGTCTCTCTTGTCAGATCTATGGATTTAGATTCGCAGCCGAAGCCGGAGTCCAAGTTCATGTCCCTCGTTACTCAAGCAGTCTCTCTCTTCTCCATAGATTTGGATTCCCTGCCGAAACCGCTGTATAATCTTATATCACACATTTCTCAAAAACTCTCTTCAGATTCGGACCAGAAGCCAGAGTCTGATTTTAAGGTCATGTCACTCGACGAAGCATTGAGACTCAAGCCAGAACCGGAGATCATATCACTCATCCGTCAAATATTCCGCGTCATCATCTCTATGAATTCAGAGTTGAATAAGCTTTTTTCCTTATGCCCTAAAAAAGAAGGTAGTTTCGAACAAGATAAATTCCATGTGACTAGAGAAGTTCAGTTGGAAGACACACACAAGTGGAAATGTTTGCTTGGAAAATTCGAAAAGGTCAAGTTAATAGGAACAGAAAACGCAACCCATTTCCACTGCGAAAGTTGCAATGGCGAGAACCATGGAGAATTTGAGAAGACTCTAGTCGAGATCAAACATCCACTTCATCCGAAACATTCTCTTCAGCTCGTGTTGAATTGGGGCAGAGAAACAAGACAATGCTATTGCTGTGATGAAGATCTCAAAAGGGTATTTTATTATTGCTCGGTATGTGATTTTGCTATGAATATAGCTTGTGCCAACAAACCGTCAGTCTTATATTTACCCCCTACAAAGTGGCATGGTCATACACTTGCTCTTTTTCCAAGAAGAGCTTCCTTAACTTGCAATGTCTGTGGCTTGGCCGATTCAAGCTCCCCTATATATATGTGTCCCCCTTGTGACTTTGTGGTTCACCTAAGATGTATCAACTTACCACGTGTGATAAGGATATCTCGCCATCGCCATCGTATCTGTCATACCCCATCTTTTGGCGAAGGAAACTGGTCTTGTGGTGTTTGTCGCAGAAATATAGACAATGATTATGGGGGTTATTCTTGCACCAAGGACGGTTGTTTGTATGCAGCACATTCAAGGTGTGCCACACAGAGCAATGTGTGGGATGGCATAGACCTTGAGGGAGAGCCAGAAGAAATTGAAGAAGAAGAAGCTGAGCTGTTTGTACGAATAAGCAATGGAATCATACAACATTTCAGCCATGACCATCATCATTTGAGACTTGATGAGAATAAAGGCAGAGATTACGATGTGAATAAGCAGTGTCAATCATGCATCACACCAATCTATTTTGGTAACTTCTACTCTTGTGTGCAATGTGAGTTTGTTCTACATGAAACATGTGCAAATCTTTTTCGCAAACTATATCACCCGATACATCCACATCCACTCAGTCTAGCTCTAATGGGTGGAATTGACAATGTTATCGACCGTGCACACAACTGTTCAGCTTGTTCAAGATTGTTGACAGCTGGTTTCTTCTATAAATGCTGTAAAGAAGAATGTCGCTTCCAACTACATGTGCAATGTGCCACAATTTCTGAGCCACTATTCCATAAAAGTCACAAGCATCCTTTATTACTAACATCCAAACCAAGAGAGACTAGGACCTGTAGTGTCTGCATCAAAATTTTGGTAGATCAAACATTCAATTGCATTGATGAGTGTGATGGCTTTGCTTTGTGTTTCAAGTGTGCTACTTTACCTCAAAAGGTGAGGCATAAGCATGATGAGCATATCCTCACTCTTTGCTATGAGGAGGAGATAAGTACCATGAAGTATTGGTGTGAGGCTTGCGAAAGAAAAATAAATCCGTATGAAGGATTTTATATGTGTGATGAGTACTGTTGTGTCACCCTACACGTCGAATGTTTGATTGGAAGTCACTTATACATGAAGCATGGCTCGTCGTTTCGTTATTTCGGTAGACAGGTAGGTGTTTTGCCCAACAATATACACATGTCTCGACCTATTTGCTCCAACTGTGAGAAGCGTTGTTCAGAAAACATATTTTACCTGTGTTATGGATCAAAACTTTGTTCCCTATCATGTTTATTCGATTTTATTTATAAAAGTTTAACCTGAGAGTGGACAATGCAGTAGCTTGATGTTGTTGCTCTTGTTGTAAGGAATATTTTTTTAAAAAAATATTGATCTGTTTAATATAAATATTGTATTGAAATTTTAATTTATGAAGTAATTTTCTTTTCATCAGTGGTGGTGATTCGTGAACAAGTTGTTTTATTTATTTGTGTGCGTGTGTAAGAATATCACAAAAGGATCTCAAGTCTCAAGCAGTACAAATGATTCTGGAGATACAGAGTGTGAAAGCTAACATAATGTTTTCTCTCGCTATTGTGTGTCCAAACACACAAAACTCCCCACGAGACTAGATAGGCTCCATATCTTTGAAGTTTTCTCTCGTTTTCTTCCACAAGTTTCATTCTCCCATTTACAGTTTGAAGTAATGAGTGGCAGCAAGTTCAGTAATCGATAATATTTTCATAGCCTTGGATCGGACAAGCTGACACAAATGATGTTATCGCCTTGGATCCAATAAGCTGACACAAATGCAGATTGTAGATACATTGAAAGGTATCTCAATTCTTCCATCCCCATCAAGACATTGGGCACGAAACTATTAAAAAAATATTTCCAAGATACATTTAGATTTAGGTAGATCAGCAATTTTAGGTTTCCAAGAGAAGAAGGTAGATGAGATACCTTAGCACCTTTTAAGCTTAGATACCTCAAGTGTATGAGCTTTCCAATGCCAGAAGGTAACTTTCCTCCTTCAAAAGAGACGGCACTACACAGATCTAAAACCCTCAACAACTGTAGCCTTGTAAAGAACAAATCCCATGCCATCCAATTTGAAGCTTCCCTAGACACGTTGATAAACAAGAGAGATCTAAGGCTTTGATTCTTCATCTCCTCCACCACATTATATGTCTTCATGTAAATATACAGCGAGCCTGCGAGATTTAGTGTTTCTAGTTAATCTGGCTTCAATAATCTGTAGGAAATTCTCTTCTTTGGCTTTAAGAAGACAAACTTCTCTCATCATGTCATGCAAATAACAAGTTTCAAATCTCAAATTCTTCATGCCTCTTTCCGATATAATCATATTTCTCTTAACCAACTCTTGTATGTAGTCATCTGTAACATCTCAACGCTTTCTCTTTCTAAATACTCATGTTTGAGTATTCCTTCTGCAGCCCAGTAATAAGTCAATTTCTCAACATCTATTGCAAAATCTTCTGGAATATGAGCTAAATAGAGGAAGCACTGCTTCAAATAACTAGGCAACTCTTCAAAGCTCAGAGACAATATATAGTAAAATGAATATGTTCTTCCACATAAATGAGATCCAAGATTCTCAGATACTCGTTTCCAATTGTGCAGTGTGTATTTTTCAGCCAATAAGCCTCCTAATACTCTGACAGCTAAAGGCAATACCCCACAATGTTTGATCATTTCTTTACTCATCTTTTCCATTTCCCCATCAACCTTATTCAGTTCTGCATGACATCATAAAACAAACAAATAATACTTCAAATGTATCATAAACAAATATATAGTTTAATATGATGTGATAATGATATACTAAAACTAGTTGTTACGAGGTAAGAAGATTGATCTACGATGACCCACAAAACATATCTCATTGTGATCAAAATGGAAAAAAAATCCCTTCATTTAAATGCTTACCTAATGCGTCTTTCTTTGGGATTGTTATCCTCTGAAAAAGTATCCAACTCTCATTAGTAGTTAGATATTTTGGTTTAAAGTTGATATATGTTGTATCTCCACGTCCTCCGATACTTTCATTTCGAGAAGTAAGTAATACCTTCCAACCAGTAACACATTTACTCGTGTATTAGTATATAATTTTTCATCTTTCTTATTTAAATACCATAAGAGGTCACCTTTTTCCGGTGGAAATATTGGCTTGATTAGGTCCCAATGTTCTTCTTTCCATATATCATCAAAGACAATTAATGATCTTGATGTTTCTAATAATCGAAAGAGTTCATCATATAGTGTATTTTCCGCCATCTCCATGATTTCATTTTCCTCTTCTTTGGGTCTAAAATTCTGCAAGATTCTTTGCCAAACATTCTTCCGGTTAAAAACTTGTGAAACACACACCCATGCGAGTTTATCAAACTTATTTTTCACCCTGTCGTGATTAAAAGCTTGTCTAGCAAGTGTGGTTTTCCCTAGACCACCCATCCCGGTTATGGAAAGTTGGAAACCACTTGAACATCACCTTCCTCCACCAAATATCCAACCAATTCCTTAACATTTGTGTCTAGCCCCACAAGATCATTTTTGTACTCCCTAGGAAATTCTTGTTGCATCTCCCTTAGTCTTTCTTGAAGAGGTTGTGAATCCCCAACATCCAAAATAATCTGTTGCACTCCAAAATCTTTCATAGCGCATATCACCTTAGATATTCTTTTACTTATGCATCGGTTATCAGAAGCAATTTCCCTGCGATCTGGAATGATGCAAGCAAGTCTTCTGATACGCTTCTTGATGCTCTTACTCGTTCTTCGGAGTCCTTCCTTAAGAAGATATGTTTCAATTTTATCTTCTGCATCAAAAACAATTTCCTTGATCTCTTCAATACAATGTCTTACCACCGCACTTGTATGTTTCTTGGCATCTGCATCTATTAAAAATGACTTTTAACAACTTTAGATCACTTTCTAGTGTAGCTACTTGATCTTCAACACCCTGTAATTGCTCGCATTCGTGACTCAGTAAGTCATAAAGCTTTTCTATTCCAAATGACACAAGTTCTCCAGCCATAATGGTTCCTGCTTCAGAACTATAAAAATAAGAATCAAGACACGTACTATTGACGAACAGGTGTAAATATATAATCGCAAGGGGGTCAAATCAAGTTCTAAAGTGGTTAACAAAGCAATATAGGATTTTCATATTTTAATTAATTTTTTAAATTGGTGATGAGGAATTTTATATTACACACTTGAGCAATATAGAATATATCTTCCCAAATACATCTAGATTTATTATCAAGTTAGCAGGTATATGTTGTTCTGACGAAACACTAACGCAGTGCATATGTAAATATGTTTGATGATGAAATTCACACACACACATATACATATATATATATATATATTGAATTGTTGACTAAAAAAAGTCTATTCGATTAAATTTGTATTGACAGTAGCATTTCTTTATTTTTTTTAGATTTACGTATCAAAAACATACATTTATAATTGGGTTATATTGTGTAGTAACCATAGATTATAGCAGCATAATTTGGGTAATTCAGTGAGCAAGCAGTATAATCTAATCAAACTGCTATTCTATATTCCTTTCAAGTATTTAATTCTTGGCATAAGGCTTTGTTTTTCATTCTGATGAAAAAGCGAACATAAGTTTAGAATATATCGCACCATAATTTGGGCAAGCAAGCAGTAAGATTCAACCAAACCGCCACAAATATTCTATATTCTTTTCAAATTTTAAATATTTGGTATAAGGCTCTGACAAAAAAAAAGGCTTGTTTACTAAACTTAAAGAAGTCAAACTGACGTTTCTTGATTTAACTTATGGAGTTTGATGACTATATATATATATATAATAAATCCAAGCTGACATAATTTCTGTGTTTTTTTTAGAGAGATTTACATAAAAAGGTATTTTGTGAGTTTTGGTTACAGAAAAAGACACTTTGTGGGGAAGAGACACTTTGGCCACTGTTCATAATATGTTAATCCGATTTTGTCCTTTCTCTTTACTTATAGTTGTCCACATATGTTCATCCACGTGGTCGGCATATTTTAGCCATTTGTTATAGTATATAAGTTTCACAGAGTTCATCCACAAAAGATAAGCAAAATGGATATACAAAATCATATTTAGCTGTCCACGAAGGTTCATCCACGAAAGACATGCAATATGGATAGACAAATTCAAACAATACATGTTTGGCTGTCCATGAAGGGTCATCCATGTGAGCATGAACTTCATTGATCTCAAACTAGTCTAGTGAACGTATGAAATTGTCCACATATGTTCATCTACGTGGTCAAAATATTTTAGTCATTTGTTAAAATATACAAGTTTCACAGAGTTCATTCACAAAAATGTGCAAAATAGATATACAAAATCATATTTAGATGTCCGTGAAGGTCCATCAAAGAAAGACATGCAAAATGGATAGACAAATTTAAACAATACATATTTGATCGTCCATGAAAGGTCATCCACGTGTGCATGAGTTTCATCGATCTCAAACCAGTCTAGTAAACGTTTGAAGTCATCCACGAAAATTCATCCACGAAGATTGATTATGATGTGTTATAGTTATCCACAAAAATTTATCCACGTGGTCTAGCGGTTCTAAACATTTGATTTTGTATGAAAATGATAAAATAGTCATTTCGCATGATGAAAGTGCCTTTTCCCTTCTAAGTGCCTTAATTTGTAATTCAAGTTTCTAAAAGTGCCTTAAAATGTAATTTTCTCTTTTTTTTATATACACAGATGCAAGTGAGGCAAATAGTAGTCGTTTTACAAATGACTAACCTCTTGATGGCTCCAAGGAACTCATTCTTATAGGAAGAAGAGAGATGCTTGATTAAAGAAGCTAGAACTCCTACTGAGGAAGAAGGGCCCTTTTTCTTTCAACTCTCTGGTTCAGACTTTTCAACTCTCTAAAGAAAAATTCCATGTCGTGTGGACCTTAATTTTCATCTTTATTGCAGAATAATGTTCATCCACACAATCCAATTTCGTCTCATCATATAAACAACTTTTCGGACCTCATTGTAAAAGCCTTGTTATATGATTACTTATAAGGGGAATTGCTAAAAATAGCTTAAAATTTGGTTCTTTCTTCAAAACTATTCTTTATTGTATGTTTGGTAAAAGTAACTTACAATGGTATTGAAATTACAATCTTTATTTTTATGACTAAACAAAAAACGTACGTTAGCTACAATGGTAGTTTTATCTTTGAGAAGTCTACTCTTTACTAATTTCTTTAAAATTAATTAAAAAAATTATTTGATTAAAAAATAGATACATAACCAAAACATATACATTTTCTATCTATTAAAAATAAATTTTAATATAGAAGAAACAATTTAAATCAACATAGACAAATTATGTTAGAAACCAATATAACCCTCTGAAGTCTGCTGGAGAAGTCTACTCAATCACTAAATCTTAAATGTTAATAATAAAAATTATAGAAAAATAATTTGGTAAAAAAAATTATATACACAACTAAAACATAGAAAATTAGCATCTATACAAAATAAATATTCATGAAAATGAATCATTTTATATGTTTCATAAGTATACATTTCAAAAGGGTTATAGTTGAGGTTTAAAGTTTAGGGTATAAGAGTGTAATTGTTAGGGATTGCACAAATTCTGTATGAATCATAGTTTATGGTTCAGTTAATGAATCATGGTTCATATATTTGTTATTTTAATTGTGAGTTGTCAATATAATAAGAAAATTTATGTTTTCATATAAGTTTTAATCGAAAAAATCTGATTTAGGATTTAGTATTAAGCAGATTTCTTTAGTAGACTTCTTGGAGAAGTCTGAAGTTCAAAAAAAACATAACAGAAAATCGAAATTATATAACAAATTGGGAGAGAACCAAAACAACGGACCAAATTTGTTGGTAATTGATTAGTTTCACCGGTTAAGCAGACTTCTCCTAGTAGACTTAACTGAAATTTTTTCTGCATATATAAGAAGAGTTTAACCTAATCGTGTTAAAAATAAAGTCTCTCTCTCTCTCTCTCTCAATGCCTCTCTCTTCTCTCCCTCCTCTATGGCCATAAATCTCTTCTCTTTCCTCCCTTGCCATCAATCTCATCTCCATCCTCTCTATCTTGCCTTCAACCTCTTGTCACTTGTTGGTTATGGTAGTGGTAAACAAATCTGAGCTTTTGTGTTCCTCTTTTAGTTTGGTTTATGTTCATATTGTAAATCTGAACTTATTATTACAGATTTAAGCTTATTGTTGTAGATCTTAGTTTACTTTTGCAGATATGAGCTTATTATTGTATAAATTTTATTGATTTTGTTGCAATCTAAATTTTGTTGCAGATTTGGATTTTTTTTATTGTTGTTGAAGAGCTGAATTTTGTTGATTTGCTGCAGATCTGAATTTTGTAAATATAGTAGATTTTGTTGTAAATCTGAATTTCAACATTTATTTTTTTCTTATTGTTGCATATCTGAGCTTATTTATATTTCTAGTTTTGTTCTACAGATTTCAACAAAGCTTTTGATTGTCTCCGCCGTATTTAAGTGATTTCAAGGTTCGAAACAGTAATTATATGGCACCATTGGTCAGAATCAGACTCAGTCGCACACTTCAGCTGCAAACTTCTGCCGCAGACTTCTCGAGTATACTTCTCAAGCAGACTTGGTGCAAGCACCCGTACCAGCTGAGGACCAATGTGATATACCCACGGTGAGGGAAGGCCCGATGACACGTTCAAAGGAGAAAGCCTTGAGGGACAAGTTTAACTTAGCCGTGGAACGGATCATGAACACACGTACCGTGGTCGAGAACATTACAAGTACGGATGAGGGCATTACGGGATGGTACAATGACATTATGGGACGGGACATTGACGTGACGAGCCAGCCCCGTACCACAGACGAGTATATTACCACGCGTGATGACAGCATTACCAACCAACCCCGCACCGCGGACGAGAGCATTACGGGACGACTGACCAACCAACTCAAGGAGATAATGGGCCAACACTTAGATGATTTTCAAGGCATTCAAGACCCACCTAAGCTCAAGGAAGACCCAAGCTCCGACGCATGGACACTTCTCAAAGGCATAACCGGCCCAAACTTGTTCATCATCAACCCACTCCAAAACAGCGACACTTAGGTGATTGGCGGCCAAAGACTACTTGCTATTTTCGTACCAACCAAGCAAGAGGCAACAGTAAGATAGTCCATTAGTATCATATATTTTCTGTTTTCCTTTCTTTTGCAGGGAATAAACACTAGTTTCTTTTTAGACATTTTCCATTAAAACCGTTGTAATCTTTAGTTTATTTTCTTGTATTTTTGGTTTAGTTTTTCTTTTATTTTTAGACCATAGAAGGTCAAGGTCGACGAGCTATTAATAAAGCTCCATATGCGACATTGTAGTACACAACTTTTTACCCCATATCAATAAAATCGGCAGTTCTTCTTCAAGTTAAAGTCTTGAGTCTTTGCTTGTTCTTTGCATGTGTGATTCACCAAAGTTACAAGTGTTTTAGCTGTATCAGAGATCATTCCATACTCTCTGTGGTGCCAATGATCCCCCAACACTCATCATTCATTGAATCAACGTGAGAGAGTCTAGGGCGAGCACGTTCATTCCCATTACATAAGATCCGGTCATCCGAGTCTTATACCATTTGGTATCAGAGCCAACGGTTCTATATCAGGTGATATCTATCCCATTCATTACCGTTTGCCCTTTATTTCATTGTTTAGTTTTTATCTTAAGAAAAACCCATAAAAAGTTTGCTTCCGTATTGCTTGCTTGGCTAGATACTCATACCTAGGATCTATATTGGTTTTCTTTAGATTCTCTGATTGATTATTTTTCTTAGGCTTGTTAGTTCTTTCTAGTATTAATCATAAAAACCCAAAAGAATTTTCATATAGCTTTGCTTGTTATAATTTTTTTATAAAAGAAAATCCCAAAAAGAAGTTTTTTTTTGTTTGACTAAATTCGTTCCTGCTTGTTAAGTGTTAGTCAAGTGATCTTTTCTTTGGCTATACTTGTTTCAAC